ATATTGAAAGTGCCATGGGCTGCCAAAAGAACCAATAGATCCATTTTGGAAGAAGTGCAGCCAGAGTGCTCCTTAGAGGCCAAGATGGCCAAACTTGGTCTCTCATACTTCAGACATATTGTCAGGTGGGACTAGTCACTGGAGAAGGATATCATGTTTGGTAAGGTGGAGGGTAGAAGAATAAAAGGAAGACCCTCAATGAGATGGATTGGCTAAGTGGCAGCATTGATGGACTCAAGCGTGGCAACAGTAGTGAGGTTGGCCCAGGACCGGGCAGTGTTTTGTTCTGATGTGCATAAGGTCACTATGGGTCAGTACTGACTCAATGGCACCTAATAACAACGCAGAGGTGCCTGGGAAGAAAGGTCTACTTCCTAAAACATCATTAATTGACAGGCCTTATGCAACATAGTTCTATTCTGACATGTCTCAGGACCTTGGGAACTCTGCTGTAGCAGTCTTCAGGGATTATAAATGCAGTTGATGGGTGCACTGTGTTAGGGGTGTGACCAATTCGTAACCACTATGCTACCAGAGGATGTCATGCTGGGTAAGGTGGAGGGTCAGAGAAAAAGAGGAAGACCCCCAATGAGATGGATTGGCCAGGTGGCGTCATTGATGTACTCAAGTGTGGCAGTGGTAGTGAGGTTGGCCCAGGATCGGACATTGTTTCCTTTTGCTGTGCATGGGGTCGCTATGAGTTGGTTCCGACTCGATGGCACCTGACAACAACAACAACGCTACCAGAACTCCTTCCAGTCACATTTAGCTAGCAGGAAATTAATCTTGTCCACAGAATCACAGAAAGTAGAGCTTGGAGTGCATCTGGATAAATGAGGAAATTGCTTAAGATCCTAGTGGTTACGAATCGGGCTGCGAACCTGAAGGTCAGCAGTTCGAAACTACCAGCTGCTCCGCGGGAGAAAGATGAGGCTTTCTACTCCCGTAAAGATTTACACCATCGGAAATCTTGTACAAGGTCGCTATGGGTCGGAACCGACTCAACAGCACTTAACAACAACAACATACAAATATAGTATAGTGGTTACTAATTGGGCTGTGAACCGCAAGGTCAGCAGTTTGAAACTACCAGCTGTTCTGTGGGAAAAAGATGAGGCATTCTTCTCCCGTAAAGATTTACAGCCTCGGAAACCCCGTACAGCATTGCTATGAGTTGGAACCGACTCCACAGTACATAACAACAACAACAACAACATACAAATATATTCTTGGAGCACCAAGGATATACACACAGTGGTAGCCAAGTAGATTGTGGTTACAAAATAGGCTGTAGGCAGATCTAGAACAAAATTACACTTCTCTTAATCCTTGATCTTTAACTTTCATAACTTTGTCGAGAACCGGCCTCGACAGGAGAGTTTGGTTCACAAAGTAGGGAGATCTGGCGGCGACAGCGACAGATAAAGAATACACACCAAGATGCAAAGAGAGAGAACACAAAACACCCCGAAACCAGAGTGGATGCGACACTGGCGGGCGGACCCTGGACTACCGGCATCGTGGCCCCTGCAGGCAGTAAAGCACCGCCCTGCAAACCTTAACGCATGCCTTGCCAGCTGTAACGCCTCACATGCCAGCTGTAACACATGGCCTGCAAACCGTAACGCATGCGGGCTTCGGTCTGCACCCGTTTTATTTCGGGGAGGAGCTTTACACAAAGGAAGGCGGGGTTTGTTAAGACGGGGTACAGAAGTGAAATGTGATTAATCGTTCAACATAGGACACAAGGATTTACAGGTACAAATTCTAAAACATACATCACAAATTGTCTTGATAATCTAATATCTGTAATTTTCCAGAAATTCAAGCAAATTATTACATGGTACTTTTCAGGTTCGAATCCCAGGGCAGCAACTCGGTTTCTCCAGGCTAATTAACATATCTATAGCACCTAATCTTGAATGGGGGAAGGTGAAAAGGATTGAAAGGAATCCCATTGTGTTGGCTGCCAGGGCCAGGTCTGCAGGAAGAAGTGAGGCGCCTAGGTGAATGGGCTGCACCTGAAGGCTATCCGGGAAGGCTGACACTATTGTTCTTTAGATAGAGCCCCGGAAACTTGTCTCCAGAGCTTCTTAGCAAACTTGTTTTTGGAACTTTTTACAGTCTCGGCTTTAAGAGCAGTTTAATATTTGTCCATGGGTATCAAGGCCTATGTAGTAAGTTAATATCAAACATAACTAAATAATTTGATAAAGAACAGTTTGGACATACTTGCTCAGTGGCCAGTTTGATACTCAGAGAGATTTGTTGCTAGAACACTTTAAGCACTACCAATACAGTGGAGCCAATGAGAGAGGCACATTAAGAAACCGTTTTCTCAGAAGCTACAATTATAGGGGTTCGAAGCATAGAGTGAATTAATAGGACTAAAGAGAATTATACAGAGCTGGCCCCACAGTGAGTTCGTAAACGCCAATGAACCCGGGATGTCCGGAGGTTACTTCCTTGAGCCCACAGGGTCTCTGGCCAGCAGGTCAGAGCACTGCCATGTGCTGGAATTTTCGTCCATGACACTGGTCCTCCGCACCCCTGCGGTCTGTAACAGTCACTGACCTCTGTTGGTGCTCTAAGGTGTTTTGTAAAAATGATTTAATAAGTTTTTCAGGAAGTAGCTTTTGGTCACTGTGAGTAAAGAAGCTAGAAGAGTCCAGGAATGGAAACCAAAGAGGGCTCATAAGAGCTAAAGAACCTTTGAAACAGAAGTCAGAAGACCCGGACAGATATGAATGAATGAGAAAAAGTGGTTAGGGGACCATTATGTTGGAGTGCACTGTGGATACTGGGATGTTTCTAATTATCCAAGGAGGCAGCTACTGCTCATTTCTAAAATGTTGTGGCTATGTGGAAAGATGTGCTAAATGCTGCCAGATCTTTCAGTTTTCAAGAGTAAAGAGATTTTTAGAGATTGGGGAAAATATGGTGGACTAGGCAGAAAGACTGTATGGGCTCTCTGCAGCAAGAATATGGCTAATCAGACAGGACTGATACAAAGGACAGTCCTGAAACTCTATGCTCCATAGAAATGGCTAGAAAAGTAGATTGAGTGCTTACTGAGAGACAGAGGTGAATAGACGTGGCAAGAGATGAGATGACTGATGAGCAGCAACAGCCAATGGAACCTGCTGTAGCCATCTTGAAAGTTCATGAATGGCTTTAGAGATGAGAAAGTAACTTCATGTTGCAGGAACCTACCTGAGGATCATGGAGACAAAGGTCCAATTTATCTTATCTTATTTTTCTTTCTTTTTTTTCCAACCAGCATACAATCCCAGGGAATCCCTCACTTTTGAGGTGGTTGAAACCACTGGAGGTGTAAGCCCCATGGAGGAGCTATATACAATAACCCCACTAGGGCAGGATATGATCCAAATCAGCAAAGTTGACCCTGGCCAGCCATGGACTGGATGTTACAAGAAGAGGGGGCTGAATGGATGTATGGGTAGAGGGGAAATAAAGAAAGGAAAGGAGGCAGGTGGTCTATGTGGGTCCTCCAGATGCAGCATGGCCAATTTGAAGTTTCCCAGACCACTGTGAAGGCAGTACGCCAGTAGGTGGTGGAGTACACTTCCGATTGGCAGAGAGAAAGCCATTGACCTTCAGGGCTTTTGTTGTTGTTGTTGTTGTTGTTTTGTATTTTTTCTCTTATTGCTGTAAGGGCTGTTTGTTTATTTGTCTTCTTTCTTCTTGCATTACACAGCAGCAGAAAGCAACTGCAGTTATATAGCCAAGATACAGTTGTATCCTCTACAAACCACAATTGGGCAAGTGCCAATACCAGCAGCTGTATGCCAGAGCATTGATGATAACTAACATCTGCTGAAACCACTCTGACTGGAACTGAATGAACAGTGAACAGAGTAACTCATCTCCTGATCATACCCACCAGGAGGCAATTAGTGAGTACTGAAAAATATACCAACATACACTCATCAACTTAATACAAATATTTAAAAACTACAATGCCTAAAAAGCAGCAGAAAATTTCTGTTCACAAGCAGCAACAAGGCACAGTAGCTAAAACAAATGACCAAGAAAAGGAGACAGAAACTGTTTTTGAGAAATAAAAGGCACTAGAATTACCTGAAAAAGAATTCAGGAGAACAATACTGAGGTATGTCCAAATTTTTCATAGAAAGGTTGAAGAAAACAGGGAAGAATTCAGAAAAACACTATGAGAACAATCAAACAAAATAGATACAGCACAACACAATACAAAACCTCCAGACAGAGGTCCAGATAACCAATACTAAAAATCAGAAATAGATAATACACTGAAAGGGCAAAGGAGTAGAATTGAATCAATGGAAGCCAGAATTAGTGAGCTTGAAGAAAAATCTCTCAATACTGGTATCTGAAGAAAGTCTAGGATTCATGGAGGACAACATGAAAAGGAATAACCTAGGGGTGATTGGAGTTACAGAACAGGAAGAGACAAAGAAAAGATAGTCAAATAGATGCTGAAATAAAATTTCCCTAACATCTGGAAAGACGAGAAGATAAGCATTCAAGAAGCTGAAGAACCCTAGGCAGGATAGATCCAAGAAGAAAATCACCAAGACATATCATAATCAAATGTTCCAAAATCAAAGAATCCTGAAAGTAGCTAGAGAAAAAAGAAATGTTACTTACAAAGGAAAACCAGTAAGATTAAGATCTGATTTCTCAGCAGAAACTATGCAGACAAGTTAAAAGAAAAAATATTTTTAATGTGTAATTTCTTGATTTTTGGCACACTGAGAAACCAGAACAAAACATACAGTTAATTTATCTTGTGCCCATCAGTTTTCAGTCTCCTGAATTTAAAAATTAGAAAACTTCTTAGAGGCATCAAAAGAAAACAAAATGTTAAATTTCATCTTTTGTTTTTCCTGCAATGCTATGTGATTTTCTGTTTTAAAGCACCCCTAGTTAATTAACAGTGTTGTAATTTTGAAAGTTTTATTTTAGCAGAATCCATTCCAGATGGTGAAATAGGGTGTCTTCAGCAACTAACTACATGGACCTCAAATGTCAAGGAAAGCTTCCCTGGCTTTAGGGCCTGAAATCTAAGGGCCTGAAGTCAGCACTCTCTCTCCATTTTCAGCCTTAATGTCAGATGCCACTTGAGTACCTGACATAATTCTGACACAGTTTGGATGTACCCATCAATGCCTGCCAATGTGATACTTCTGGGAGAGCTGAAAGGGATATTTTGCATTCAGGAAACATAAAGCTTCACAGGTGTTCATCTGCTCAGCAGGTGATCTCTGCTCAGAGGCTCCTCCTTTTGACAAAGATATGCAGAGGAAGGGCAGTTATCCATTATACTCTTTCCTTTTTCCTAGACTGTTGGACTTCTGAAGACCTCCTGACTATTGTTTCTGCAACATTGAGTCTTTGATCTATTGAAAAACAATCACAATGATTCATTGCTTTCAGTGAATCTATGGGAGCACTAGAGTCCTGGTGTGGTGCTGTGGGTTAATGCCCTGAACTACAAGGTTGCTTTGAACTGCAAGGTTGGCAGTTCAACCAGTCATTCCTCGGAAACCCTATATGGGCTCAGTCAGTACTGACTCGATGGCACTTAACAACAACAGCAATAAAAGCATTGGATTACAAGGTCAGTTTGACCCAGTGGTTCAAACCTACTAGCTGCTCTTTGGGAACCCTATACAGGGTTGCAATGAGTTATAACTGATGTGAAGGCACTTAGCAACAACAATGGAAGCAAGTTACCTCTAGTAAATTTTATTTACTTTTATGTACTGTTGGCTTTGTAATGTTCTTCAGACTGGGACAGAGACTGTTTCTGATGACACGTCAGTCTGTTTTCCCACCTTTGCTTCTGTCTTTGCTACTTATGCTCAGTTAAAACCTCTTTTTTCACCACTATAATTTTGTGATATTTTTTCCTAGTACAGAAGTGTATTCAAAGGACCAGCATCTTCCTTTCCTACTGTTTTCTCCTAAGGCTTCCACATTGCCCATTCGACACTGAGAAAGTAGCCACAAGAAACAGTACCCTTTTCATAGACCAGGAAGCTCCAGCTAATTCAGTCTTCTAACCTTCAGAGACTAACACCCCAGCTAATCATTAGGCCTCTTGGGGCTAGGGTGTGGTGGCAGGTGTGTTGGTGCCTGGGACAACAGGAGTGGTTCTTATCAGTCAAGCAGAAGCATGGTGCTTGCCCAGAACTCCAGGACTTTCCATGTTTTCAGAGAGTAAATTGATAACTGTTTATTTGTAAAGCTGAAAGTATTATTTTTAAAAATACTGCTCAGCTGTAGATGGGAAATTTAGGAAACTCTGTGGTGGGAATTACTTGTTCCTACTCCTACAAGAAGCAAAGGCTGATTAGAAATGACTGCTTTTAATACTTCTACATGGTATATGGAGTCCTGGTATGGTGCTGTGGGTTAATGCACTGGACTGAAATTCAGTTTGAACCACAAGGTCAGTGGTTCAAGCTCACCAGCTGCTCCTCAGAAACTCTATACAGGGTAATTATGGGTTGGAACTGATTCGACAGCACTTTACAACAACAACAACAACTTGATATATGGAGTACTGGCATGGTGCTGCAGGTTAATATGCTGGACTGCAAGGTTAGTTTTAGCCTCAGGGTTGGTGGTTCAAGCTCACGAGCCACTCCTTAGAAACCCTGTACAGGGTTGCTATGAGTTGGAACCAATTCAACAGCACTTAACATCATCATCATCAATAACAACAACACTTGGTATATATCCACAAGAAATAAGAGCCAGGACACAAGTAGATAATACCAATGTTCATCACAGCCCTATTCACAATAGAAAAAAGATGGAGACAGCCTAATTGTCCACCAATGGAAGAATGGATCAATAAACTTTAGTACACACTCACAATGGAATACGATGCACTATTGAAGAATAATGATGAATTTGTGAAACACCTCACAGCAAGGATGAACCTGGAGGACATTCTGCTGAGTGAAATAAGTCAATCTCAAAAGGACAAGTATTATGAGACCACTATTGTAAAAACTCAAGTAAAGGTTTTCTATACTATTCTTCCATGGTTACCAGGGGTGGAAGTGAAGGGAGAGTAACTCACTGATTAGAGAGTAGACACATGTTAACTCAGGTGACCAGGAGGGCAATATACAAGAAATGGGAGGAAAATATACAAGAAGTGTAAGAGCATTATACAAGAAGAGAGAGGGTGGCAGAAGAATGATGGAGACAGGTGAAGACACAGGGAAGTATATAAGTTTTAAAGGGGATAGAGATAAATAATGATATATACACAACCTTGGAACAACGGTGTTCAGTATGTAGATACATGGACAAAGACACAGGCTGAATGGGTATAAGAGGTAAATAAAACTCAAATATATACGAGTTTCAAGAGGATATCTGTACATGAGTAACCACAGGGAGGGAAGAGGAGAATTGTTGTTACATGGAGGAAATTGCAATCACTGAAGTGAAACAAAGTGTATGGTTTGTTGACTGTAAAACTGATGATCTGCTCTGTAAACCCTCACTCAACTCACAATAAAAAGTTAAAAAGAAAGGAAGAAATGACTGCTTTTGCAATCTGGACTGCTTCTCTGCTTTCATCTTTGCTGATTCAAGACCAAACTCCTCAGTCTGGTTCTTCATATCCTATTCCAACTCTCTACAACCCCCATATTCTAAGCACACCCTCACTATTGCTTCAGTGCCTTTATTACTTCAACCTAATATATCTTTGCTTTCATTTTCCAGTTGTAAATGTCACGCATCCACTTACTTATATCATTATTGAACACTGAGAATACAAATAGGAGTCAAATGTGGACCTTACCTTCAAGGATTCTAGAATCTAAAGAGACATAAGTAAAAAAGCTCTTTCTGTTTGACTCCCTCTTCCCTTTTTTCAGAACTCCTAGTTTCCTGTTCTCTGGAAAGCTTTCAGTGAGCAGGGAAGGCTACGTCATGTGCCTCAGTTATCATGGTAACTGCCTGCTTTCTAGTTTTTCTCTCCCATTAGGCTGTAAGCATTTTGAGGAAGGAGATATCTTTATTCACAGATTCCTTCAAATATTTAGGTAAGTGCTTTAATACATGTCTGTTGAATAATTGGAGAAATGAATATGCTAGACTAGAGGAAAAACCAGTGTGAGGATTCCACATAGAGGGCACCTATCCCAGGTGTGTCCACTGTTCACACACAGGCCCCTTACTTGTAGCAGTGCTTGCTTCACAGATGCTACAGCTATCTCATCTGAGGGAGCTGAGACACTTTGGCCATAGGGAAAGCCATTTTGATCATTAAAATCCCCAAACCCACTGCCATCAAATCCATCCTGACCCATACATAGTAATCCTAGAGGACACAGGAGAACTGCTCTGCAGGGTTTCGGAGGCTGTAAATCTTTATGGGAGCAGATTGCCACATCTTTCTTCTGTGGCGAAGCTGGTATGTTTGAACTGCCAGCATTGTGGTTAGCAGGCCAGTGCTAATCCCACAGTGCCACAGGTCTCCTTATTTTACTTTTTAAAACTTTTTATTGTGAAAGGAGCTCTGGTAGCGTAGTGGTTATGAATTGGGCTGCGAACCTCAAGGTCAGCGTTTCGAAACTACCAGCCGCTTCGCGGGGGAAAGATGAGGCTTTCTACTCCCGTAAGGATTTACACCCTCGGAAACCCTGTACAGGGTCGCTATGGGTCGGAACCGACTCAAAGGCACTTAACAACAACAACATTGTGAATTGAGTGAAGGTTTACAGAGCAAATAAATTTTCTAGTCAAAACTTTGAACACATCTTGTTACATGTCATCCTTGATTGCAATCCCTACAACGTAACATCACTTATCCCAGTTCCTCCTGGTGGCTTCTGTTTCCCTTCTTCCTTCTTTCCTAACCCTTCTGAACTGTGTCCTATAAGGTTTGCATATCTTCCCAGTGTTATTGTTCCTCTTATAGACCTGTCTATTGTATGGCTGAAATTGGAGCCATGGGAGTGAGTTCATTTCTAGACACGAAGGATGACTAAGGGCCAGACACTGTAAATCTTTACAGGAGCACACAGTCTCATCTTTCTCTCGTGGAATGGCTGGTGGGTTTGAACCTATGAATTTGCAGTGCTTAGCCCACAGCACCGCCAGGCCTCCTTCTTATGAGTTTAGGGATTTTCATTAGTTTTCCTGATAATTCCTTTAGTGGACTATTTCTAATGGCTATTGTAAGTCTGGAAGATTCTGCGTTTTCCATGGAAATTTGGTAAGTTCCTCTTGTCATTTCTAGATGGAAATGATGGACATCACATTCCTGAGAAAGTTGCAAGAGATTCTGAGCATTGCTAGTTCTATTATTTAGGTCAATTCTTTCTGATTGAGTCATAAGCAATTGGGCTGAGCTAGAATTTTCCAATTTCTTGTCAAGAGACCCGGTTATAAAAGGTGCTGTGGTTTCATGCTTTTTAGTTGGAGAGATCGGCTCAGCCAATGAGCTCTTCTTCACTTTATTCAGTGTGCTCTTATACAGGACCAAGTTGTAGAGTTAAAGCTTTCTGCCTCTAACCAGAATTTAACCAAATGCTCCATTCTACAAAGTTCCATGAATTGAATGAAGTATGGAAAAACAACAGTATCATCAAAAACTTGGTCAAGGGTCTTTGAGAGGCTTGATTTGGTCTCTTGAGTCTGATAGTCCAGACAAGATATACCGAGGTTACCAAAATGAGCAGCCTCCATGTAGCTTAGCTTTTTTTAAAGTGCTGCTGTCCTGCTACTTGAAAAAGAGTCCATGTTGGCAGAAATGGCATTGATTGCAACATGACTTGGTCCTGCAACCTCCAGCAAGGCATGGTTTTTAGTGCTTTTTTGTGGGGAATGAACAGATACCTGAGTTGACTTGACATCTGACGTCTTCTCTTCTTTACCTTTCACTTTCCGCTGGAAGAAGGACATGGCGGGCCCTGGGTGGGGGCTGAGGGCCCCAGGGAACTTTCGCGGGGAGGACACGGCTCCCCTCATTCAGCAACTGGCCCAGACTTCTGGGAGCACAGCAGTAGCCGCACTAGCCCGAAAAGAGACGCTTCTTTGGGATGTGGGCCCCACAGCCTCCTAGAGATGCCCAGGCAGCACCTGCCGCCATATTATCCACGCCTTATTAAAGTAGAACGTAAACAGTCAATAACAAAACGGTTTCATTATGGAGCAAACAGTAAATAACAATCAGTGAAGTAAAAATCAATGTTCATCCTTTTTTTTTTAAATGTCACTTTTTCTTTTCACTGTGGTTTGGGTCAACAACTAATGTACATTTTGTTTTGTAGCAATTTCCTCAAAGTAATGGCTTTCTTCCTGCTTCCTCCCTGGGTTTCCCCTTTCTATTTGTTCTTCTCTCCCGCCTCTTTCTGCCTTCTGAGCTCTGTTTTTGGGCAAATGGTGCCCTTTTGGTGTCATATGTTGATTATTCTGAGAATGTTCCTCATGAGCGTTATTGGTGTTAATTTTTACTTTATGGGTCTCTGTTGTCTGGCTGCAAAGCGATCCCCAGGGATGGGTTCAGTTCCGGGTCTCAAGGGACTCTAGGGGCACAGTCTCAGAAGTTCCATCAGTCTGTTGGACTAGTAAGTCTGATCTTTTCTTCTTTATGGTTTTGAGTTTTGTTTAACATTTTTCTCCCATTCTATCCAGGACCTTCTGTGATCCCTATCAGAGTGGTCAGTAGTGGTGGCTGGGCACCATCTAACTCTTCTGGTCTCAGGTTCATGGAGGCTGTAGTACACGAGGTTCATTAGTCCTTTATACTGGTCAATGTTCACTCTTAAATAACAGTTTCATGGTGAGAAATCCAAGTTCACTCCTACTTCATGAGCAGACATGTCTTAGGTGTAAGCAGGTGTGCCAAGGTTTAGGTGCCAGATTATGTATTGTTCTCTGTCTAAGCATACCTCAAAACAGGGCTTCCCAACTTTTTCCCGGAGGTAATGGCTCCAATCCCTGCATTTTGGACAGCCTCCCTATACTTTGGGTGGGGTTTCTGCCACTGCACGACTCTCTCTCTGTCTCTGCTACTTCTAGTGCTATTGCAGCCCTAAGTATGTTATAGGTCTCAGCCCACTTCTCTGTCAGCATCCTGGAGTCTGCTTTCTCCAGACCACTGTTTCTAACTCTCTCCATTATGTCTTCTACTGGGATTTTGGTCTCTGTTGTTACTGGTGCCGATCTCTTTTGGAGCACTTCCAATCTTTTTATCAACAAGTTCACATCTCTATTCTGGGACTAGGCCTGGGGTGTTGGGAGTTTTTCAGCATAGAGCTTCCATGTCCCCAGGGGATGTGCTCACTTACCCTCTGCAAGACAAACATTCATACTCCCCATCCTGGGAAGCTCAACTGGACGTCTCTGTCTTTTACTGCCCTCATCACAGGCTTCCTAAGACTTAACATTGGGCCCCCAGGTGACTCCTCTTACTCAGGTTGACCTTCACGCTTTGCTCTCAGGTGTTGTCCTTTTGTCAGAACCAGGCTCCAAACACCAAAATTGTCCATTGCAAAGGTGTTACATATCTCACACCAGGCCAGAAAAGATTTCCTAGAAAATGTCTAAACTGAGTTTTGAGGAATAGCCAAAAGTAAGAATAATTAGAGAAGGTATGACAAATCTTCAGCTAACATCAATGCTTTCTACCTAAGTACAGAAACCAGACCAGAATGTCTTCTCTGTCTCTATTATACATTGTACTGAATGTCTTAGCCAGTATAGAAGTAATAAAAGGGTATCCATATTGGAAAGGAAGTAAAACTCTAAGGAGAATGCCAAATGATCCAGCCACTGTGGTCAGTGGTGTGTCAGTCTTCAAGTGTCACAATCCGTTACGTGTTCAACTCCTAGCCCAAAGCTGGCAGTTCAAATCAGACCACTGAACGAGTTAATTCCAGTTCCACCCCTTGTTGAGAATTTGCATTTCCATCCCAGATATATGAAAAACGAATCTACAGTTTAACAAGATCCCCAGGTGATTCTTACAGATGTGTATAGAGGAATCACTGAGTTGCTATTAGGTTCTATCCGGTTGCTTCCAACTCATAGTGACCCCATGTACAACAGAACGAAATTCTATCCCAACCCCTGCCATCCTCATGATCATTCCTGTGTTAGAGCCCGTTGTTGCAGCCACTGTGTCATTTCTTCTACCTCTATTTTTAAACCTTTTATTTGGAATTGAATGATGGTTTACAGAACAGATCATCAGTTTCATTCAACAAATCATATGCTTTGCTTCATTACAATGATTGCAATCACCTCCAGGCACCATCAGTCAACAGTCTTTACCTCTATTCACTTTAACTTTTGCATTCTTCCCTGTGTCTCCCACGACTTTCATCCTTCCTCTGCTAACCTCCCTCTTATTATATATTGCCTGCCCTGTCACCATATTAGCATAAGTCTGCTCTCTAGTCCATGAAGAATTTTCCCTCCCTCCACCCATCCTCTTGTAACCGCCACAGAACGTTTATTTTATCAAGAAAACTTTCTTATCTTTTTACAATAGTCTCATACAATATTTGTCCTTTTGTGATTGACTAATTTCACTTGCCACATTGTCTTCCAGGTTCTCTCGTGTTGTGAGATGTTTAGCAAATTCAAAGTTACATAATATTTCATTGTGTGTATTTACCAAAGTTTGTTTAACCATTCTTTTGTTGGTGGCCATTTAGGCTATTTCCATCTTTTTGATGTGTCTCTTGTAGACTGGTACATGGAAGGATTCTGTTTTCTTATGCATTTTCCTTTTCTCTGTCTCTTGACTGATGCATTTAATCTATTTAAATTCAGTGTAATTATCAATAGGTATGAATTAGTTGTTGTGATTTTGCAGGTTTTTTTTTTTTCTTCCTTTTTCTATGTGTGTGTGTGTGATACTGCTGGTTTCTTTGACCCACATAATTTTCTTCACTAAATTAATCTTGTTTGTGAGTTTTCTTTTTGTTTTAATTTCTGTTGTGTGAATGTTTACTATACCTTTCTAATTTTCTTCTTTTTTTGTTTTGATGTGAGGTTTATGAATTTTCTTTGAGGTTACCTTGTAATTTATTATTTCCCCCCATTTAAAATAGTCTGTTTTATCTTGAAATCTACTTGACTTCCTTATCATTTGGAAATTCTGTATCGACACTCTTCTCTCTTTTTGCTTTGTAGTTGAGTTCATTAAAAATTGGTATCTCTGGTCCCTATTTTCAGTCTTATAGGTTTGTTTTACTTTAAATACCTGGATTGGGAGTCCTGGTGTGGTGCCATAGGATAAGAAGTCGACCTCAAAGTTGACTTGAACTGAAAGGTTGGCAGTTCAAATTCACCAGTCACTCCTCGGAAACCCTATACAGGGTTTTATGAATCGGAATAGACTCAACAGCACTTAACAACAACAAATACTTGGATTGAGTTCTGGGTGGTGTTTTCATGTATGGTAATCTCGGGTTGTTATTTGCTTTTTTTTTGGTTCTCAGTCCCAAAAACACCATTTAGCATTTTTTGTAAAGTTGGTCTGGTCCTTAAAATTTCCTTTAATTTTTGTTTATCTGGAAACATCCTAATTTCACTATCGTATTTGAAGGACGACTTTGCTGGGTAATGATTCTTAGTTAGACATTTTTTTCTTTCTGAGTTTTATGTATGTCATTCCATTGCCTTTTTGCCTGCATGGTTTCTGCTGAGAAATTAGAGCTTAGTCTTATTGGTTCTCCTTTGTAGATAACTTTTCATTTTTCCTGAATTGCTCTCAGGATTCTTTCCTTGTCTTTGGTTTTGGAAAGTTTAATTATGATAATTCTTGGTGATTTTCTTTTGGGTTCTATCCTATTTGGGGTTCATTCAGTTTCTCGTATGCTTATCTTCTTGTCTTTCATGATGTTAGGGAAGTGTTTTTCCAACAATTCTTGGACAATTTTCACTGTGCTATTTATTGTCTCTTCCTGTCCTGGATTTCTGAATGCCTATACTTTTTCCTCTTCATGGTGTCCCACATAACTCTTCAGATTTTTTCATTCTTTTTATGATTGTTCTTCTTGTATACTAGCATTGAGAGATTTATCTTCAAGCTCACTAATTCAGATTTCCATTGCTTCAAATCTACTCCTATGTCCTTTCATGTAGACTCATTTCTGAAACCTTGTAATTGATCTTCTGGATTTCTAATTGCAGTTTTTGTATTATTTAACAATTTGTGCTTTTGTTTGGATCTGTTTGTTCTTATTGTGTTTTCATAAATTCTTCTAAAGTTTTTTCTGTGTTCTCCTTGCTTTCCTCAACCTTTCTGTCAATTCTTTGAAGGCACCTAAATATCATTCTTTTAAATTCTTTTTCAGTTACTTCCATTACCTTCTCTTCCCCAGAAATGCTTTTTGTCTCTGCATATTGGTCATTTGTTAGAGCCATTCTTGTTTCTTTATGTGAGCTAAAATTGCCTGTTGCTTCTCAGGCATTGGGATGTTGTCATACTTGTATTTAATTGCTGATTGTATGCTGATGTGTTCTTAGGATCTCATTAACTGTCTCTTCTGTGTGTAGTTTGCCATACCTGTTCACTGTTTATGCATCTCTGTTTAGGGTGGGTTTGGCTGGTGTTGGCTGCTTAATATCATTGATTGGGTGGTATAGGAGCTGGTATGGGCTCCTTCCCATTTGGGCTATATTGGCACAGTTGCTGTCTCCTGTTGGATGGGAAAGAGGAGAAACCCTCCTTACCACACACAAGAAAACAAAACAAAATAAACAAGCAAGCAAGCAACAATGAAAATAGAAAATAATAAAGAGAAAAAATAAATAAAACCAGGCAGAAACAAAAAAACAGAATATAATAACTATAAAGATAAAACAGAGACAGAGAAATGGAGCTATAGAAAAGAAAAATAAAGGAAGAAGAAAAGAAACACTGAAGAATGACTATAAAGAGAGAATAG